TTTTGGAAAACAATTGAAATATTATATATTTGGAGATTTTGATTTTTTGAAATATTCAAAAATACCCACATATTCAAAATTTTTGAAAACAATTGAAATATTATATGTATTAGAAATAAAAAAAACAAGCATATATATATAAAATTAAGAATTTTGGAATAATTTAGATTATATAAAATATTATAAGAATTTTGGAATAATGTAGATTATATAAAATATTAAAGGAATGGAAATTAAAGTTGAGAATAGCAAAATATATGTTTTATTAGGAGATTTTGATTTTTTGAAATATTATATGTATTAGAATTTAGAAATACAAAAAAACTTTGAAATATTCCAAATAAAAGGGTTCAATCTGAGTCTCGAACTCTGCACCTCTCTGTATTTGAAGGGAGATCCCTACCAGTTCAGCTACAAGATCTCTTCAGCTATTTTTACATTTACAGTTATATAATATATAAATATATAGGGAATATTTTTTTTTCAAAATCAAGGGTGTGCAGTTGCACACCCTAGGACCACAGTGGATACGCCACTGGGAGGGGGAATGTTTGGAGTTAAGGAATATAGATGTTGCGTGAAGATGGAGATTAAAAAAAATTGAAGCGAGGCTACGGGAGAGATGAAATTGTGGTCAAAATGGAGAGAGAATACTGGAGAGAGAAAAAGTAGGTGGCAATAAAAAATTATGTAAACGAAATATATGGAGTGAGCTGGAAACTTGGATAAAAAGAGTGAAGAGTGTGTAAGAAAATAAAAATATATATAATAAATAGTACTTTTAAAGTATTTAGAATTAATAAAATAACTGAAAATGTAAGAAAATAAAAAATCCGGGTCGAACCCGGTTGAACCGGTCCAACCGTGACCCGAATGCATATCCGGTTTTGTGTCCGGTCCGGTTCTGATAACATTGATTAATACCCAACAAAAAATTGGAAAAACACAATCATCAACATCACTATACATCAGAAAAAACACATAACTTATATAGCTTATGTATAACAATATATTGCTACGAGTTACTACACGTGACTATATATGACTACATGTACATGACTACACATGACTATATATGACTACATGTATATGACTACACATGATTATATATGACTACACGTGACTATATATGACTACACGTGACTATATATGACTACATGTATATGACTACACATGACTATATATGACTACATGTATATGACTACACGTGACTATATATGACTACATGTATATGACTACACGTGACTAAATATGACTATATGTATATGACCACGTGTGACTATTTATGACTTGATAACGCAAATCTCTCCTACACTGAAACAAGTACAGCCAAGTTTCGAATAAGACGTAATTGTCGAGAAACTGCCGGTCCTCCCACTGTATCATCACCGACTCGCCTGACATACTCCTCATCCAACACGAGAGTAGCTTCTAGAGTTGGTAGCCAATCTGCTTGTTGAAGCCAATGTCTCAAAGAAGAATTGCCATGATACTGAACATAAAAATAATTCAGACCCTCAATCATATTGGAAATATGAAATCATTAGCACATTAACTAATAGAATAAATGAAAACGGGAGCACCCCTCTAGATTGACTTTTTGAGAAAGAGAAACTTACACCATGTACTAGAGTAAATGAACCACTGTCATCATTTGTGGATGAACATATATAGCCATGAACTTGAACCGAGTAAGAATGGTACATTACTCTACGGTGAGCCAGTCTTTTCAATACCTGAATGTAATTTCACCAAGAAGACATCAAAGTCGGACAATATATCACCATTTTCAATATGTAACTTACTAATGTGTCAACTTAGCATACCTCTATTGCCCTTCTTCCCCTACGTTGCGCCTGATTGCTAACCGGTCGCCGAAGCACGACTTTCTTATTGAACAATGGACTGCATTACTAGAAAGAGAGCGTTATTAGAATTTATATTTCTATTTCTATTCATGGTTTTTTTTAGATAAATTTACCATATTGAAATCGACTACAAATGACTATAGTATACTACAAATTCTATAGTCATGTATAGTTATATGTAGACATGACTACATATGACTGCATATGACTACATATAGTATACTACAAATTCTATAGTCAGTTATATGTAGCCTGAACCAAATCATCCATCTAAGTAACCACTACTGATTAAGTTTCTACTACAGACAAGCAAAGCTCTCACATTTGAGGTATTTCGGATCATTTTCAAATAAATACAAAAAAATAAATTACATATGAATTATAACAAAAATGAACAAGATAAGAATCAAACAAAATAAAAAATCAAATTGATGCAACGAAAAAGATTTTAATATTAATTATTCACAGATCTTGAAAAACATAGTAGATCTGTGTTTTATTTTATAAGAAATAATAGATCTGGTTTGAGCCATCCCTAAAAAAAAAAAAAAAAACAATAACGTAGAAACTATTTCTTCAAACGGAAGTAGAAAGAGATTTAAAACGAATTTAAAACAAACAAACCCTCATCCATCATGTTTTTTGCATCACCGAGTATATTCGATTTGGACGGGTGATTCAAGGCGGCGATTGGCGTCGAGCAAACGAAAAGTGGCGGCGGCACAAGGCTGTGGGAGGAGCAGGGGCGGCGCAAGGCTGTGGGAGGGCAACGTCGGCGGCACAATGAGGTGGGAGGAAGCAACGGCGATGGGCGGCGCAAGGCGGTGGGGAGTAGAGGTGGCCGCGGAGAGTTGTGTGCCGAAGAGAGGTAGTGAGTTAGAGAGAGAAAGAAGAAAGAGAGAGGGAGAAGGAGAGAGAAAGAAGAGTTAGAGAGAGAAAGTGAGTTGGAGAGAGAAAGAAGAAAGAGGGAGGCAGAAGAATGAGAAAAACGGCTGCAAAGTTTGTGGAAGATAAAAGGTGGGTTAGGGTTTGAATTGTAACTAAAAGGGTAAAATAGGTATTTCAATTTTTTCAGGGGGGTCTATCAAATTAAGATTGAAATTGGGGTTTTTGACTAGAAAAGAAAAATCCATAGGACCTATCCATATATATTTTTAAAATTAGGGGGTTATCTCACATTTCCCCTTTTTATTTTTACTTCTTTTTATGAATTAATCTAAAAAATCAGGGTGGTTTACGTTGGATTTCACTATGCTACTCTCTTGCATAATCTCTCACATTTTTATTTAATACTCCATCCGTTTCTAAGTATGTGTTGTTTTTCACCTTGGCACGAGTCTTAAGAATCTCAATAAATATGTCTTGATTTTAGAAAATAGATATAGATAGACCAAAATAACCTTGTTTACTAATTAATGCAGAGAGAGTGTTGGAGTGTTAATAAGGATATAATTGAATATAATGTAATTTATGCAACATTGAAATTGTAAAGTGACAAATAATATGGAGAAAAAATTTCTTAAAAGAGACTGATACTGTAGAAAAGAGGGAGTAGCTATTAATTATCTAAGTGTCATCTAACCCCTATTTGGATTATCATGAACCTTAATTTACTCAATAAATTTTTCAAATTACATCATCAATCCCCATGCATATATATCCATTGCTTTACGTACTTGACAATTTTGTTTCTCGATTTGCTAACCAAATTTACACTAATTCACTCCTCCTCCTCATGCAGTAGTACTCCTTCCCACGTTCTGCCTTACTTCAATTCTAATCTTCATCAATCAAACTTTACTTTTAACCTTTTTCCACTCTCAAAAAGTCAACTCCTCCACCCTCAAATATATGTAGACTCCCTCTAGAATTTTAGGAAAAATAAATAATTAATGGAAAAAGAAGAAGAAATCAGAATTCAGTTTCTTGGATTCTATGGCATTTTCAGGGAATCCTTCACCATTGCATTCTTCTGCAGGAACAAACTTTTTGGCCAAATCACTATCGCCACCATCTTCCCTTTATCTCTCATTTTCTTGCTCCGTGCACAATTTTTTGAGTTCATGGAAACTCTAATTTCATTGGAAAAAATCGGGATTTCGCTGATCAAAATCGCGTATTTTATATTCTTCATCGCCCTCTCCATGCTGTCAACTTGTGTAGTTGTCTACGCGGTGGCATGCAGTTACACGAAGAAAGCTGACATCACATTTGTCGAGGTTATTAGTGTGGTGCCAAAGGTTTGGAGGAGAGTTACGGTTACTTTAATATGGAGTTTCATCCTTGTCCTTGTGTACAATATGATTGCATTCTCGATACTTTTACCATGGTTAGCGTCGCTTAACCCTAGCATGACCAAACCCGTAGTTTTGGGATCTCTTTTTGCAATATACATGATGGGGTTTGTGTACATCAGCATCGTATGGCATTTGGCAAGCGTGGTTTCCGTTTTGGAGGAAGATTGCGGGATTGAAGCAATGATCAAGGGCAAGGCACTAGTGAAGGGCAAAACGGTCATTTCCTTCGCCGTTTTCTTTTTCATGAGCTCGTGTTTCGTTTTGATTGAGATGGTGTTCCAAAGGTTTGTGGTGCATGGGGAGTCATTTTGGAGCGAAATTGGATATGGGATTATTTGTTTCTTCTTGTTATCTGGATTTACATTATTAGGTCTCGTGGTCCAAACCCTTGTCTACATGGTTTGTAAATTGAATCATCGCGAAATTATCGATGAGTCGTGTTTATTAGCGAATCACCTCGAGGTTTATTTAGGTGATTATGTTTCTTTGAGATCCAAGGATGTTCAACTAGAGCAAGTTTATGTAATTAATTAGTTGTCAAAGATTGCTTATGAGATCTTTAATAATGTAATGAGGTTTGCTTTTTTTTTTTGCACCAGAAAAAAAGAAAAAAAAAAAAAGAAAAACCAATAAAAGCACTTAACCCCCTTTTGGTTTGGATATTTTGTACATGACCATCTTATGGTATGAAATTAGGCATATATAACCCCCTTGTGGTTTGGATATTTTTCAAATGACCCCTTTATGGTATGAAATTAGGCACATAATATTTGACATTTTGCACATGACCCCCTTATGGTATGAAATTAGGCACATAACCCCCTTGAATATATAGAAAACTGGAAAATACTAAATTACCCCTAAAGTTTAGCTAAATTGCAACCATACCAACTATTTGTTGGTTACTCTATTAAGTCAAAATTTCTTGTTTTAATTTAAAAACAGCTATTCTATAAAATGAAAAGTTTAATTTTTTTTTTGTAAAATGAAAAATATAATATATTATTGTGTTTTTTTTTAATTTTACAACACAAATGGTATATAATACTAGTTATTATACGATTGACAATTTATTCAATTTTAGAAATAAATTTTGAAAATATCATATATTACAAATCAACTATAAAAAGATTAAACTCGATATAAAACTATGAACTATTAATTTCTTTGTTCAATTATAATTCGGTAAAATAATTCTACATATTTCAAAGCTTTAATTTTGTTATTAATTATGATTACATTTACTATTTTATAGATAATATATTATATTATAGTTGTTATCGAATTTTATTTTTTTAATAAACAAAGCCTTTATTATTTAGGGGTAATTATTTAGTCTTTTTCATTAGCTGACTTTAAATATTAGCTGACTTCAACATTAGATGACCTCCAATTTTTTTTCTCTTTCTACTTTTTTCCCCGGCAATGGGTTACGTTGTCGGAGCTTTAATTAGCTGACATCCACGTATAATATTTCTCAAAAAAAAAAAAAAAAAAATATATATATATATATATATATATATATATATATATATATATACACACACGTGTAATCTAACAAAAAAAAAATGATTTCCTGAAAGATATTATACGTGGATACCATGCAAACTCCGGCCATCCACTTGCCATTGCGAACTCCACCTGCAGCTTCAACACGTGCGTATCCGATAGTATCAGCAGCCACGTACTTCACATGCCTGAATTCTTATTTAACACCCCATGCATCTCCACAACAACCATTTTCACCTCGATCATAATAAATCTAGATCATTAAAATATAATTAATATTTAATAAAATGGTGAAGCTCACTCTGGGTGTCGTCACTCTTACAGTCGTCCTTTTGGCTGCCGTCGCCACTGCTACCAGAACCACCACGTCGGTGGAGATTGTGAATACGGTGGCGGAGGAGGAGGAGTACTTGCAGGGGTGCCGCCAGGAAATCGAAAGGCGGAGGCTGAGTTCTTGCCGTGAGTACCTGACAGATAGCAGCCGCTTTTCGCCGGGAAATGAAGGCGGCCGTGGGTGGCGGGAGGAGTTTCCCCGGTGCTGTGAGGAGCTTCAGCAGATCACTCACCACTGTAGGTGCCAGGCTGTCAAACAGGTATACGTTAATTTCTTTACGGTTCTGCTGATACGTGTTATATTTAATTTTTTATTATATATTTTCTCAGAGTGTTAACTTGTAGGGATTTTAGAAAAATATAAAAAATTATACGTGTCGGCAGTGTTTGTTTCGTGTTGACCACCTGACCGGGTGTAGGGTAGAAGGAGCCGTTACTTTACCCACTCTAGTGTTGAACTTGAAAACTATAATTAGCAAAAAAATGTTTTTATTTTTTTCAAATTACAAAGTTCATATATATATATATATATATATATATATATATATATATGTTATGTTATGTTATGTTATATTTGGGCACGTGATGAAATAATTAAAATATTTAATGGTATTTGTTTGAGCAAATAGGTGGCCCAGGAACAAAGACAAGCAGGACGGTTGCAAGGGAGAGAGATTCGAGAGATGCTGCAAACGGCTCAAAGTTTACCTAGTTTATGTCGCATCTCACCTCACTACTGTCATAATTTTGAGGGACCCACTTTAATGTTTTAAATTAGTTATTTGATCACCATCATCAATCAATCAATAATATTAAATAAAACTTTGGTTTCCCCTAATCCTGAATCACTCACTAACCATGATTCTAAACTTTACTAATTACTTTCTATGTCCCTTATTATATGTCTTTTCTTTTTGCGATGTTTTTTTACTTTCAAATTATTTGTCATTTTCAAATTATTTCAAATTATTTGTCATGTTAGAGTTACAGTAAAACATTTATTGTATTTTTATCAACTTTGCCCTCACTTTTAATTAATCAATTAAAAATTAATTAATTAATTAATGAAAAGGGTATTTTACTATATTTTGTTTGATGTAATCTATGTATATTTATTGACTATTTTAATATTCGTGCAATGGAACAGAGGTACTTGTTGATGACTTTTTGATATGATAAAACATCTTTTTAGATGTAAGAACTTATAAGATATTTAATTCACTACTCAATTGCAAGTATTAAAAAAAATTACGATATACAGCTTGTTTACTATTATTAATAGAATGAGGGCGAGGAGATTGCCGTGGATTTGGTAGTAGTTCAACTAGTATTTGGATAATGCGGGGTTTGTACATCGTCTCGATCTAATCACTAAACTATCTGTAATTTTAGGGCCTCTTTGGTTTGATTGACTTGATAAATGGGATGGGATGAGATACTTAATGCTGTGATTAAAAACATGATGAATGTTATTAGTTATATCATTTGGTTAGTTGTATTAACTCATGACTAATAATATGTTGACTATTCCGTTTACATTTTGTTTGCATGATTTAGACAAATCAGCTGTGATTAAGTCCATATTGCCGTAAATATCCTTACAAAAGACATATAATATTTTAATATGGCCTTTTTATTATTTAAATGGTATAAATCCCCTTTCCCCGGCCAAAAACATCCGTCGGGAACCCTAATTTCACAATCTTTGAAACCAAATCATCGATTTGTGCTGTGGAACGGTAGATTTGGAGAATGGATGATACCGGCACTAGCAGTAAGAGTAGGAGCGAGAGTAGCAACAGATTTTTCTCGAACAACGCCAATCGCGAGCATCCTACTTTTTGTGACTGTGGCCGGAAGCTTCTTGTGAAAACATCATGGACGCCGGCGAATCCAGGTCAGCGGTTTCTATCGTGTGCACGGCGGGGGAAATGATTTATTCTCATTTCCACTGATTTATTGTTAATGAATGAAAACATGTGTTTATGTATAAGGCAAACTGTTGTGGGTAAAACATATGATAAATCTGTGTTTGTGAATAGAATATTTATGTATAACAACAATTGCATATGCAAAAGTGTGTAGGAACTTTTTTAACCGTTCGTCTAATTTGTAGTTCGTCTAATTTGTAATGAAACCCATTAACATGTACTGGGTCATTCCTTCTAACCAGCATTTTCAAACAATATGTTGAAATTATATATTAATTTATACATTATTATGTGCATCCTTTGGTAAAATGACATTGCATTAAATTGAATATCAGGGTATTGGTTGTTCGATTTTCTACTGGTATGACCCTGAGATGTGTTAAAGATCAAAAGCGATAATCCCTGGTTTGATCAAGAGAATTAATACATTGGAATCACAAATTCCATTGCAGATTCCAGTTCTGGTAAGCAAAATAACAGATTTGGAATCCCAACTGCAGTTGAAGAGTGAGCATAAGGTTTTGAGAAAGTCGTATCATATGTCAACTGGTTCAGCTGTTGCAGTTGTTGTTAGTCTATTAGTTTTGTATGCATTGTTTTCGTAGTAAAGTTCGTTTAACTGTATGTTGTAACGAAATGGTGAATCAGCGGTTCTTATGTTGAAAACAAGCGTTTTTTGTTTCCATTCCATTATTCAGCTAAGAGGTTTGTTATATTAGATTATGTCCTACTGTTGTAACTGTCATCGGCACGTTCTAACTATGAATTGTAAACTGACCTACAATGGTTTTGCTGTTCAATTTCTTTAGAGAGCTGCAAGTGTTTGTTTAGTAAACATTTATGTTCATTAATTATGGTTTTGCTTCCATATTTGAATAAAGTGGTACAGGTGTTTACTTAAGGTCAAACTTGAGTGTATTCAACTTTGTATGAATAATTACTTGTAATTTATCTTCGTTAGGGTACATACATTTCATTAACACAGTAGAGTAGTTACTGAATATATGTTTGCAAATTAATAAGCTATAATCTACTGGAGATACAAGAAATATATAATAGTACTTCATCATTAATATCCGATTGAAAATTTGGGAACTTACCCTACGAAAATCATTCCGTACGTATGTGAAAATTTGGGAACTTAGTCCCGAACAAAAGACAAACTTACTAAGGAATCTAAATAAGAACATCAACCCACAAATATAACGAAATAAGATTAACTAATGTAAACGAAGTTCGGGATTAATCGGCACCAACTGATCCATGGGATTCAGAATTACGATCATCATCATCATGATCGCTGATACTCACAGCTGGTTCATTGTCTTCGTTTGGTGCTCCAACATTTCCAGTGTCATTATTTTCAATGTTTGCCACTTTGTGATCCGGGAATACAACGGGCTCGGCATCTACCGAAACATCGCTTTCATCATCTTCCTCGTCTCCATCAATGACCAGTGGGTTGTTCGGGCTGAATCCCATTATCCCATCAAAGTTGCATGCCGGTGCTTGTTTGCATTCGAAAACAAACTTGCACTCTTCGAACAACGGAAAGCCGTTAACCCTAAACATCCTCTCTTCATCTGTCTCCGGTATATTATATGAAAGACAAATTAAATAAATGTTGTAACATTTTATTTCAAACAAACGAGTACACTATATTTAAGCACATATATTAATTACTTACACGCCGATTCCATGGCCATAAACTCCTGTCCAAAGTGATCTTTTTCGTATGACGATTGAACATGACACCATCCG